CAATACTCATCATTATTGGTGGTAAAGAGATCGTGTCAGCTGAAGGGACGACACACGGTGAACCGATTGCAATGGGTCTAGATGCACTTGGTATACAGCCCTTGATAACAGGATGAAAGGAAACGACAGTTGCCAAACAATGCTGGTTTGCTGATGATGCCAGCGGAGCAGGATCAGTTACAGAGATTAAGCAATGGTGGGACACCCTAAATTCCCTCGGACCAGATCTGGGGTACTTCCCAAATGCCAAAAAATGCTGGATCATCGTGAAACCTGATAGGGAATCYCTAGCCAAAGAAACTTTTAAGAACACAGTTATAAACGTAACAACCGAAGGACAGCGCCATCTTGGAGCGGTTATAGGATCGCATGACTATCTTGAGGACTATGTGAATGAAAAGGTGGACAGCTGGGTAAGAGAAGTAGCTCAACTGACAGAGTTTGCACTGACACAGCCACAGGCTTGTTATGCTGCGTATACGTTTGGTTGAAGCATCGCTGTACCTTTTTTTTAAGAACATTGCCCGGCATTCAAAACCTACTATTACTAAAGTCATTGGAAGATGCAGTATCAAATATTCTGATACCTGCAATAGTAGAACGCAAGTGCAGCCAACTGGACAGGGATATACTAGCTCTACCAGTACGCTTGGGGGRCATGGGCCTAGCAAACCCATGTCATGATGTGGAACGAGAATACGACTCATCGGTGAAAGTAACAGCGCCCCTCGTCGAATGAATTATGGAGCAAGGACACCAGCTACCACATGATTCACTTACAAAATCTTTACAACAGGCAGTGAAGAGCGAGCGAACAAAAGAACACATTAAGGATACTGCACCACAGAAGACAAAACGTACGATAGAACTAGCTGCAGAAAAAGGATCTTCATTGTGGCTGACAGTGCTTCCCCTTCAAGATCTTGGCTTCAACCTGAATAAAAGGGAGTTCCGTGATGCTATTAGACATGCGCTACGACTGGCCGCTAGATGATATTCCTTCAACTTGTGTATGCGGAGAATCTTTTACAATTGACCATGCTATGACCTGTAAGAGAGGTGGCTTTATCATTCAGCGCCATAACGAGTTACGTGACCTTGAAGCTGTGCTGCTAAGTATGGTGTGTAGTGATGTTCAAGTTGAACCGGTTCTTCCAAGACATCTCAGGAGAAGAACTTAGCAGAGGATCAAATAAAGCACAAGACGCAAGACTCAATATACATGCGCGTGGATTTTGGGAACACCAGCGTTCGGCCTTCTTTGACGTGAGGGTATGTCACCCCAAAGCCGTGAACTAGAACCACAACAGATATATCGACTACATGAAAACGAGAAAAAGCGCCAATACTCAAGGAGAGTTATAGACATCGAGCATGGCTCATTTACACCATTGGTATTTACG